ATATCGTTCGAGAATGTGAAAGGAGGATACACGAAGAATTTATCCTTCGAGAATTTTAATTCGGCAATCGAGAGCTTTTTCAGAGGCGAGTATATCGCTTATCGAGATCGATAATTATATCTCATTGATTTTTCTTCAATCATCAAACAGAATAAAAAACATTAGCAATCCATTATTTATTGTATTTTATAAAATACGAAACAATTTTGACAATCTTACTTGATATTCATTCTCCCTGTTGAATATACAAATTTTCGTGTTCACCAAAAATTTCATTACATTCCTATTTTCATGAGAAGTAACAACAAGTAGTAACATTTTAAATTTCTCAGCCAACACGAATCGAGCCACGATTCCCCGCCAGAAGATGTGGAAAGTGTCGATATTAATTTGCAGTGACGCGAATTATTCACGCGAGCGATAGGATCGGATCCATCGAAGAAGAAGGTGCACACGGAAGCGACGCGCGCCACGCTTGAACCTGTCCGCCGTGTCACACGTGTGTTCGCGCGGTAGGACGTGTCCAGGCGCGTGTCGTTGACGCCTCCGGTTCGCACCTGCACGCGCGGCCACCGACGCCATTTGATCGTGGATCGTGACCCAGTGACCCGCATATAATCGCTTACGATCTAAAGCGTCCGATCGTTTCTTAATTCTCGTTGCGTGGAAATGGAAAAATAATTTTTTTTTGGGAGGGGGGGGGGGGAATTATTCAAACGAATAATTCGAGGAATAATAATTAAAAATTTAATATAATAATTGATGGAAGAAGTCATGGTCGATTATTTTCGTAATAAAGGGAAATAATTATTACAAGTAAAACGAGAAAAAGTTTGAAGAAAATTATTACATATATTTGCACGTTGATGATAATAACAGGAATAATTTAGATTTGTTAGTTTTGTATAATATTTGAAGATGAATGGGCCTAGCTATTTAAAAGTTATCTTATATGTAAGATAATGGTGACAATGACCGAGAAAATTGTAGATATATATGCAAATGAATTAATATTTATTTAATGAATAAATAGATCGTGACAATGTTTCTTTTCAAGTTGTAAAATTTAACATCCGTTGCACATAGGTTTGTGAAACATCTTCAGAATCACATTTGGATTTGTATTTGTACTTGTGTGTTTTAATTTTGCAAAATTAAGAGTTGATTGACGTGGTATTGAGAAATCGAAATATAGAACATGTAAAGTTCGTTCGTAAAAACGTAAGACGTAAAATAAAACGTGTAATATAGTACTACGCATGTATGTGTATCAGTGTTATAATATAATTAAATAAAAGAAAAGATTTCATTTGCATTGAATGGAACGTAAAGAAGAATTATTAAGATATATTATGTAAGTAAATTTTTGTTTCAAAACCATTTTTATTGTACTCACATTACTAAATATCGTCTGGAACAATGCTAATAATAACTGTGGTATGCTTAACAATGAGTTTAAAGCATACCGCACCAGTGCTGAAGGTGCTAACGGGATATCGATGAAAAGTGCTGGGTTTTAATAGCTTTGTAACTATTGATTCGCCGAAGAATAGTTGGTAGTTAAAGGTTATTTTCTTAGCAGTGAATGAAGACAGGAATGAATTTATGATTATTGGACGTGATGTGTTGAATGAATGCCGTTCAAGAAATTTCTGATTAATTTTTTATTATAAGAATTGACAACTTCTTCAAATTTATTGCTGAATTCTATTTCAAAAATTGAATTCAAATCGTTGAATTTGCCATACGATTTTAAATATACGTTCAAATAAGGTAAATAAATAGTGTATATTATTTTACATCATAACAAATATCACTTTCGTTTTGTATTTATAAACATTAAAATTAAAAATACTATAAACGCTATACCTCTTCCTCTCTTCCCCGTAATCTTATTTTAAATATGCAATAATAATTGTGCGATGATTAATAATATTATTCACATTAAAGTATAACTTGGAAATAAAATATTTTATTTGATTGTAATATAACATTTTATCGAACAATATCTTATTTATTTTAATTTATTCCCTTTATTTTAAATATTATTGCTGAGAGCAATGGTTCGCATTCAATACATTTACGAATATATCTTAATCTTCTTTTGTATAAATTCACAAAATTGTGTAAGAAAATTGTGATACATATATTGTTCATTGTGTAGTGAAAATTATAACACGACTGATTGGATTTTCTCAAAAATGAAAAAAAGTAAAGAAGAATATAGTGATACATATTAAAATTAAAGTATTTTATTTTATGTTTCAGATTATTAAAATAAAATGTTTTATTTTGTGGTTCAAATACTATTTAATATTTATTTTCTTTTTTTTTTTTTTTTTTTTCTTGTAAAGTACTAAATGTACTAAATGTCCAATGACGTATATATAATACATATTTATATTCTATAACAAATTTATATACATATATTCAAAGATATCAGAAAATCTAATAGAATCTGTAATATCATATATGAGAATGAAAGTTTTTAACACTATTATCATTATCTAACAAGAAACAATATTGATGATAGAATTTCACAGATTTTTTTTTTTTTATATAAATCGAAAACACATATCACAAATCATAAAAATGTAAATTAAAAAAGATCTACTAAAAGATCTGACCTTGAGAAATTTGACCAAAGAGCGAATGAAGGAGAAGAGAAAAATATCTTTATTATATAAAAATAACTTGTAATAAATGAATAATAATAAATTAATTGGAGAAAAATAATCTAATCATTAAATGATACATTTATTTCATATAATTTAACGAAATCATAATTAATAGTTAATTTTTTTTATTATATTTATAATAATTTTCTCAATGACAATGCAACAAGCAAACACTTTTCCTTTCACACCTCGACCAATGAGACAATCTAATTATTCAAAACTTGTCTTAGTTTTCTTTACAATATATACTCGTTTCGAGTTATCGTTAAATCTATACAATTTTTCCTATCATTCTATTCTCTTAAAATCAATCCAACCATTCTTAATTCTCTGTTTCACGATATATATTTTCGATCTTGTGTTTTCTTGTAAATAATGCAAAATATTTGTACCCATATCTTCGGTTCACAGACAAGCGAAAAGCGCTCGCTAACGTTCTCACTAACTTTCTACTCGCTCGATCCTCTTCGCCTCCCGCTTCTCTCGCTAACCATCTTCCAGCAGCCGGCCGCTCGCAATTACCGGCACACTTTTTCAAACGGCCAAATCGCGGCGAATTAATCCTCCTCGCTTGCGCACACGCCTCTGCCCAATCGTTTTCCAACTAACGCGGCCCAGTGACCCGAAAAACTCGTTGCTCGCGATTTCGATCGTTTCTCCATTCAAAGTGAGCGAGTTTGTGAGTTTCGAATTCACCTCATCTTTCGAATTTTTCGATGACGATGAAGATGAGGGAAGCAAGGACGTTCTCTCCTCCTCCTCCTCCTCCTCCTTCTCTCGTTAATTATTACTTTTTACACTCGTCGAGGAATCATTAATCAAGCGTGACGCGCCTGTGTCAGCGATCTAATTATCAGGCAAAAGAGCAGATGTATGCACGTATGCTCGATATTGCGATCGAGGATAGGTGGGATCGATAAAGATTGGTATTCCATGGCGATGGAAAATTTTGTTCTTCTTTGGAAAATTCGTTGAAATTTTTTAACTAGTGAAAAAGAAAAGCACGTATGGCTTAATGATTTTATTTATTTAAAAAAAAGTTAAAGGTTTGTAAAGAAAAATAAAAAATATATTTTAGGTAATTTGTGTTCGTTTTTTTTTTTTTTCTTTTGTTTTTCTTCTGCAAGAGGAAATAAATAGTGGTGAATTTTCATCAGGTGACAATTGTCGTATTACTGAGATATTGATACCGAAATTGGCTTCCTTTTTATTATGAATCTATAGGATTTATAGAATTTTGAAAATATGCTTATTTGTTAAATGATTTAAGATTTCATTTATCGTATGAAAATTTTTATTTTATTGTATCTTATATATACAAAAATATTGGTAATTCATTTTTATAATTAAAATTGATAATGCTCGAAATCTTCTCCATAACGTGTTTCTATAAATTCTTAAATTTACAATTTCTAATGTTTAAAAAAATATAATAATATATAAACAAAAAAAACGATATTTAAATTAAAAATTTAATTCATCCTTTGAATTATAATTCTTCCCCTTTATTTCGTGTAATTTTCTTTTAAATAGATAAAAATTTGTAGTCTTGTCATAATAAATATTTTAATTTTACATTTTATAAATACTTTAACACCGTCTGGAAAATAAAGAAGAAAGGAAAGTTAAGAATGATGATGAATGTTTTTTTTTCCCCTCCTTCACATTTGTTAATAAATTACTCGAGTTTGATACGAGACGTGTATTTATCGTGGGAGCACGTAAAACGCGCGTCGTGCGTTCTCAAACGTTTCGCTCGAAATCCGCTATGACGTTCATAAATAACCAGACCTTCCATTCGTCGAAACGGCCACGATCGTTTTTAATTATTTAACGAATCCAGACGGACGTTAATTGCTCACTGTCCTGCCGTGTTAAAATTTTCTAGAATAGTAGGTAGAAAATAGTAGTGCATAGTAAAATTGAAATTTATTCTTCGTTCGTCACAATTTTTATTATTAAAAATAAAAAATAAATTTCTACTTTACTTTAAGAATTAATTTTTTATCACAAATTAGTCAGATATTTATATTTATATTTTTGATTTATAAATAAAACATAAATTGAACAAAATAATTTTTTTTTTCATTTCTGCATTAAAATGGAAGTATATTAAATAACAATGTTTAATGGGAGAAAAAAAAATTTTTTTGTTCGATTTTTTTTTCTGAAAGCCTCTTTTTAAAGCCTCGCTTATTTGTAACACTTTTTTTAAATTAAAAAAAGAAACCAGCTTTCATAAAATTTTTTTCTTTTTTTGTTCTACCTTTATTCTTCATTCACTCAATTACTTTTTTTGGTAATTTTATTTTACGATTGCAGGTGTTATCTTGGTTTTGCAAAAAAGGCGAGGACGTGCTCACGAAACACGGGCAACACGCGGCGACCAACTTGACAGCGGCGCGACTTCACGAGAGGGAATTCGAGAAATTCTATTTCACGTCGATGGTGAGTACGTCAGTGAGTGCACTTATATATTTTTTCTAATAATAAGTTGAATCTGTTTAGTTTTGGAATTTATATTATTTTATGGAAAAAAAAAATCCAAGAACAAATTGTAATCAAAAAAGTATTTTGATCAAATTAAAATTGAAATTTGTCACAAAAGTCTTCTTTCAGAAGAAAATTTATTCAACTTAAAAATCTTGATTTTGTACATAATGAGTGAAATATTACTTTGAAAATCAAAGCAATTTTCAAATTTTTATTACTTTTTATATTTTAAATACAATTTCGTCGAAATTATTTTTTACAAAAGAGCAATGTAGCATTAAAAGTTGATTTCACTCTCTTAAAATGACATTTTTCTAATAAAAAATTACTTTATATACGTATAATTCATTATGCTTGTACAATGTTTCCTATAAAACAAAATTATTATTGATTTTGATAAAGTAACACGTTAATTAAATTTGCACAAGGTAAGTGAACACTTTTGTGACCACTTTTATGATCATATAAATTGATTAATAGTACAATATATTCTATTAATCGATCTCTGGTATGATCTGAAAGGCAGAATAATAATTACGAAGCACAAGCGAAAGCTTAGATAGATATTTTATACAAGCTTCGAATGTTGCGCTGTTTCAAATAATGGGATTGAAAGCAGCTCAGAATCGACCCATATATGTCTAGAGATTTCACTTTTTTCACGTCTCATCGAGCCTCTTTCGTCACGGTTCAATACGGAAGAATTCCCGACAAGAGGCGGTCGAAATGACTGAAAGATAATAAAAGACTTCTTTGTAGTCGATCGCTACGAGTTTCGCAAACTTCCCCTTCTCGATCGAAGAAAAAATACACGTGTCTCGTTTAAAGAGAAAGAGAAACAAAAAAGAAAGTAATAAAAAGGTAGGAGAAACTATATTAGTATTTGATTTCAAGGAAGGCGTTATTATGGTTATTAGATACCTCGTAGATTGGATTTGATCGAAGATAAAGATTTCATTTAGATCGATTTGTAACAATCGAATGTGTAACGATGACTTTCAGATTTAGATGGATAGAAAAGATATGAGAAATAGTTTCAATGTTGTCTATTCTAGTAAGCTACGTATATCACATGTTGCAAATGTGATTTTGAAACGAGAAACGATATTTCAATTTGAATAAAGAATTTAATTTTCTTTTTTTTTTTTATCAAGTATAATTGAAAATAATGAAGATTAAAGAAAAAAATGTTAGAATAATCTATAGATCGATATACTATTTTACCGACGAATGTTCCGTCGATAAAACTTTTTTTTTTTAATTTTTTACTAATAAAAACTTTCAGCATAAAAATCGAAACTCACATTAAACTTATTATTATTATTATATATCAAGAGAATAAAAAATACTGTATAATATATATAACAAAAAACGAATCTTCATAGATCTCGATCGAAGGATCGGTAACTTGATATTCTAGTCATGTGGTGCCGTCTAGCGTCACGCGATCTAAACAGTTCTCTGCAATACCGACCGAAGTATACGTACGCGTAAATTAAACTACTTCGAAGGCACGCATGTCCATCAATGGCAGCGATTATTTTTCTATCGCGACTCGAAGTGATTTTTAAAACTACTGAAATCTCATTTACCAGTTCCATAATGGTGCAGATTGAATCGTAGCCATTAATTGGAAGTTGTTCGCTGACAACTTTCGCAATTAGAAATGTATTTGCAAAATACAGTTGATTACTCGGTGCAAACTGAGTGGATAGTAATGTCTGGTCTTATCAAACGATCGTATAAGCCTATGTTCTTCGACGACATTTTCCGTTCGCGTTGATAACGGGGCCAACGCGACAACGTGACCTCCGCTTTCTGTGTTTCCCATTTTCTCGATAAACGATCGTAAAAAAGTGCCAAAGAACCTTGAATAGCAATTAAGCAAAGGTATATGATCCATTCGAGCCCCATATTCGGACGACTTGTCGTCGCTTATCGCCGACGCATTTTATCGGTAACGTAGGCAGAATATTGTGCCATTGGATAATTTATACTTAAACTGTCAAGTTACGGCTAGCTTTGATAATTTGAATTTAAAAATAATATTATATATATATGTGTGTATATTTCAAGAACTAGTATTATTGTACTAGATTTGCAAGACATTTTATTTTCAAAATTATTATTTCCTTCTTCCTTTATTTATTATCTTCCTTGCTTTTTAATTGTTTAATTGTTGTTCCATTATTAAATCGATGAGAAAATAATATATAAATACGTTTACTAGATCAGTTTATTAGACAAATCAGTAAGCTGCAAATAATTAATTATCTAAACTAAAATATTCATTGTGATATTTGAAAAATGAATTAAATCTTCATTTAAATTTTATTTCAATTTTGATGAAATGAAACTATAAAATTGCAATTATAATATATAGTTCACAATTTAGTAATATTAATCATTTATATCGAATTTTTCTAATTTTATTATTCATTCTAAAATGATTTTATCTTATAATTTGGAATTAAATCAAATTTTGCAAACACTGATTATATACCCAAATCTATATACTTAATACGAATAACTGAAAACAAATTGTCTACACTTATTTTTATATCTCAAAGATAAAAGTAGATCATTTTCTAAGCATAGATTATCACAATTATAAAACAACAATATCATATTTGAAATTAATTGAAAAGAAAAGAATTTTTCTAGCAATCCACTATTTCAAACTTCAAATAACAGTTTTCAAAATGAAAACCGCTAACAAAAACACACGTATCTCGAGTTGGTCGATTTATCAATCGACTTTCTCCCCGTTGAGGCTCGAAAAGAGCCACCACCAGAGCTTCGTATGGCGATCGATTGTCGAGGGACGAGCACGTTGATTAATTATGTGGCACCCACTTCAATTATTCCACGCGTCCCGTTGTTGGATCATTATCCAAACTGCATTGGACATTTCTTCGTGGCCACCACGTCCCAATGACCCCGATCAACGCATTGCCCACACGCTCCTGTCATAATTGTCAACCGAGATGATCGAGAAAACTGTTTATTTAGGTCGCTCGAACGGAACTGGAACCTATCGCGCCGATTTATTATTAAGCGATCGCAGCGCGCGTCCAACCCGATATTTGGAGCGTCCGGTTAATTGCGAAACGTCCAGTTAAAGAGCGTATCAATCGAAATGATCGTAAATTAAATCGACGATAAAGGTAGCGGTGGAACGTGGACCGGTTCGAGATGTGGATGAAAATAGGGCGATATCGAACCACCCCTCTCGATCCAAATGCATCCAAAATGTGCTTAAAATCGGGTGAGTGAAAATTTGTTCTTGAAAGTTATTTCGTGAAGGAATTGTTTCGTAGTTTTGTGGTCGAAGACGAAATTTTCTGCTTTTCTTAGAATTAAGTTTTATTAAAGTAGAATTTTATACGAGCGAAATTTTAACGATTATTTGTCGTGGATTCTTATTGTATAAATCATTCTCGTTGTATATTAATCTCCGTTTAACGAAGACGGCTATCAAAGAAAGAGTTTTTCGTGTTAGTTTCTATGAAAATTTTATTATTGAAGCCAACGATTGAATCCGTTTATGAACACGAACTCCAATTATTTGAACGAATAAATAACGATCATTAAAAATCATGTTCATAAACAGAGTTCTATTATATTTTCTCCTTTATCGTTCTCGTTACTTTTTTTTCTTTTTTTTTTTTTTTAACCTTATTTACATTTAATTAAGCAGATGTAGATTTTATATCTCAAGTGTTGCACTATGGATAACACGGTTATTAAAATTTATCGACTGTGAGAAATAATTTACTTTTTCGAAGAGGAAGGTTTTAGAATGTGTTTTCAAAATACTTTTATTTCGAACAAAAGTATTTTTTTTTTTTATTTTGCCATTTACAATTTCCTCTCGCTTTTCACGATTGCGAATTTCTCCAAAATTCTTCGAGTGAAAGAGGACAAGAACTTGCAATTACTGCTCACGCTTCCTTCCTTTACGCAGAACGCAAATGACTCAATTTAATTTATTCAGTCGTGCCAACAATTGAGAAACCCAAGTAAAAAATTTGTTTTAATCAAAAGCATATCATTCCCCTTATGCAGAAAGGATTGATTTCTTTTCTCGTCTTTCAATACTGCTATCCCAGAAAAGAAACATTGGTCTTTTCAAAATTCTTTTTATATCTAGGGATAATCTAGGGACTTTAACGATTACGCTTTAGCACAGAATTAAACCACTCTGACATAAACAAGCGAAAAACAATGGTAGAAATAATGGTAGAAATGGTGTCTTTCGTTTCGTATTCGACGCTTTGATTTTTATCCGGAAGATCGACGATGTTTTCTCGAAGTACTAAGCGGTGTCGCGGACCGGAAATCGTGCTCGACCTTCGTGGCCTTCGTAGCGTACTGGTAACCTAATTACCAGCAGAGGAGGAATAGCGAACGTGACGCGAATAAAAACGGGACATTTGGAGTTGTTTTTTAAGCGGAGCGCACATGTTGGATCGATCACGAAAGTGGGTAAAATTTTTCTTCTTTGATGGAGAAATATCCAATTGGTTTGTTTTCCAGAAGATTCGATTGAGTTTGAACAAGAGTTTCCTTTCTGGAGACTCGTTCATTATTCGGCCAATCTCGTATCTCAAATGATAATTTGATGATTGGAGGTAAAAGTTTTTCCATAGTTGCATCCTGCAATAATGCTTCGCTTTTTTATTATTATTGATTTTATGGCTTTTAATAATTTCGAAGGTGGGCAATTTGTCGAGTTTTTGTTCCCAGGCCTTACGTGGAACGAATTATAAGTTTCGAAATTCAGTTTAGAAATTGTCTGACTTTTATCACACACGTGTTCAATCGACGAATTTAACACTCAGCTACATCGTTGAAGCGAATTTTGGAAAATCATCACTCCGTTTAATTTTTTGTACAAAAAAACAATTTACTTTATCATAAAGATTAAAAATTTTCTATTTTATGATCGAAAA